CACCTTGATGTGCATGGTCCTCTCATGGAAGATAGGGTTAGATGCAATCTTGATGGCACTTGTATTGTTTGCACCAAGAGGAATAGGAGTAGGAAGTTGAATGCCAAGATCCATAAAGAAAGACTATAACCAAACAATCTCATTGCAAACAAAAGACATGGCCCTATACTCTGCTTCAGTGGAAGACTTGGAGATTGTTTGTTGTTTCTTACACTTCCAAGAGATGAGTGAATCACCCATAAAGACACACCACCCAAAAGTGGACCTACGAGTGTCAGGACAACCACCCCAATCTACATCAGCATATGCTCTCAACTGAATAAGAGAGAAGGAGAAGAACAGCCCCTGAGAAGTTGTGGTTCTAACATATCAAATGATGCGATGCACAACAGTCATATGAGGCTAATGAGGAGCAGAAAAAAATTGACTAACAACCTGAAGTAGAGTTTAACAAGGCAGCATCGGGAAGTAGCGGACCTTCAGATTTAGATAGCTCAATATTTAGCTCCATAGGTGTATCAACATGCTTCTCATCATTAAGACCAGCAAGTTTAACAAGGTCAGAGGCATATTTCTACTGACAAACAAAATACCCTTGATCACTACGATGAACTTCCAGTCCTAGGAAATAGGCGAGAGGGCCCAAGTCTTTCATGTGAAAGGAATTATGAAGTAACAATTTCAATTCACAAATACCCTCAGCATCATTCCCAGTCAACAACATGTCATCAACATACAGCAGGAGAATGGTAATACCTTGAAGTCATCGCCTAACCAAGAGAGAGTGATCAGAAGAACTCTGGCTATATCCAGCAGCAACTACAACATCTCGAAAGYGTTGAAACCATGCCCCAGGTAGCTTGTTTTAGACCATATAGAGATTCTTTGAGGTGACATACTAAAAAAGAATCACTACAGTATCCAGGAGGCAGCTTCATGTAGACTGTCTCCTTCAACTGACCATGAAGAAAGGCATTCTTCACATCAAGCTGGGATATGGTCCAAGATTGAACGGCAGATAATGCTAAAGGAACACGGGCTGTGGTGATCTTCGCAACAGGAGCAAAGGTTTCTTCATAGTCGATACCAAACTCTTGACTATATCCCTGGGAAACTAAACGTGGCTTGTATCAATCAAGAGATCTATCAGATTTTAGCTTAATGTTGTAAACCTAACGACTCCCAACAATGGATGCATCTAGAAGAGCAGGCACAAGGTCCCAAGTGTCATTCTCATGTAAAGCATGAATCTCTACATCCATGGCTTCCTTCCAATGAAGGCTACTACTAGCTTCCTAATAGGAGCAAGGAATATCTGTGGAAGATAGGACAATAGACAAAGAGCTATGGTTTAAAGGAAAACCATAGCGGTCAGGAGGTCTAGATATACAAGTAGAATGGCAAAGAGGAATAGAAGTATGAGTATCTGAAATAGAGGTACCACTTACAGGAGTGGTGGTAAGATGAAGATCTAAATCAGGATGAAGGAGAGTCGCAAGCACAGGGGCTAGAGCACGTAACCGCTTGCGAGAGAAGACGAGAAGATCCTTCTCAGTAGAAGGAGGTGGAGCATCCTGTGAATCAAAGTTTGGAAAAACAGAAACAGACGGTGCAGACAGTCTAGCAATTCCAGCAAAAAAGGAAATGTGCTCAAGGAAAACAACACTACATGATATACGAATGCAACGAATAAAGGGATCATAACAAATAAATCCTTTGTGATCAAGACTGTAACCCACAAAGGCACACATGACAGACTGTGCAAACAATTTAGAACGCTCACGAGAGGGAAGATAAATAAAGCACACACATCCAAAAACATGAAGCATAGATAAATCTGGAGAACGATTAAACAACTTTTGAAAGAGAGACATATTACCAAGAACAGAGGAAGGAATATAATTGATCAAAAACACAGTTATACCGGCTACCTATACCCAAAAAGAAGGTAGAGTATGGGATTCTCCCATACTTGCGCTCGGCCACATCATTCTACTGAGGAGTATCTGGGCAACTTTGTTGCACTTGTATTCCATGATTCTTCAAATAGGATAAAAAATCTCCATTAGTGTATTCTCCCCTGAACCCAAATGGAAAATACGCACTAGTGATTGAAACCGAACCCTTACCATAGCATGGAATAGCTTAAATGTTGGGAACACCTCTAACTTGTGGAAAAGAACATATATCCATGTGTACCCAGTACAATAGTCAATGAATGACACAAAATACTTGTATCCAAGTCGAGAAGTGGCATATGCAATCCAGACATCACGATGTATAAGCTCAAAGGGAGAGGTAGCATGCTCAAACATGTGAGGAAAAAGGTAAAGTACGACTCTTACTTAAACAATAGGAAACACAAAATGTATCAAAGGTCTACAAGGAAGGAACTCTATTCTTAATAAGACCTGAATCAAACAAAAGTTTTAATTTCTCAGCATGTATATGACCCAAACGTTTATGCCATAAGTTCCAAACATTATTTCTATGAATCAGAAAGGAACTAGAAGTGGAAGAACTGAAATAAGCTGATGATGCTACTATTTGAGACTTCTCGAATTCCAATGCAAACAGATGGCCCAACCTACGCCCCTTCCCTTTCACCTTCCTAGTGTTTTGGTCCTGAATCAAACATCCATCACGAGAAAAGATGAGGATGTTATCTTCATCAACTAATTGGCCAACAGAAATCAGATTTGCAGTGAGATTAGTAACAAGAAAGGTCTTGGTAAGAGGGAAAGATGTAGCAGGTGAAAGCTTAAGAGACAGATCACTACTACCAATGATGTTTAACTTTTCAACATTGGTAGTAACAATATGTATGTGATGGGTTTCAGTAAGGTTACTTGGTTGGTTAGCGTAGGCTCCTGTCATATGGTTGGTAGCTTTAGAGTTAATGATCCAAACATGAGAAGGAGAAGAACAATAACCGGAGAACTCACCAGGTAAGCCAATAGTAGAAAAGGCAAAAGAAATAGGAAATGTTACCAATTGTCGAAAGTTTTCATCAACCATAGATGCCAGAGAATCACCTTTAACAAAAGAATCACCACCAGTAGTAGATTTCTTACTCCCATGTGCTACAGCAGCAGTGGCAATCCCACAGGCCATTTCAGCAAGAAAGCAACAGTCCAAACACAAGGATATCAGAGAAAACCAAATTCAGCAACAGTTTCCTCTAGTCCAAGAGGAAAGACAAGTTTTCCAATACTATAGAAGGTCAAGGGACCCCAATAAAATACCATAAACAGCTTCAGCAATCAAGGATTCGAGTTGACAGTCCAAAAAAGGAAAGTTTTAGGGTTGTCGAATCTAAAATCTCTCAAATATCAATTCTGAAATCTGAAACAAAGAAATGGGAAGCAAGAAAACCCTAGGACAACACCAGATCTAGTGTTATAGGTTGATCGATTCAGCCAATTGAGAGAAAACTGTGGTTTACCAACATATCAGGCGTCTTTTCCAAGAACAAAGAAGTGTTCTGTGCTGATCGAAACAGCCCTTAGAAGATTCCAAACCAAAAACTGAATGTAAGGTTAAAAGTAGCTTGAGAGAACCCTTCAATCTGGAGAGTACTGCTGCCCCAAGATGGCCTGAAATCCAAAGTTGTTGCAGTCCAAAAAAGGAAACTATACAGTATTGTGACCCCAAGAAGAACATCAGAACTCCTTCAAAAACTTCACCGAATCAGATGTTATTTGTAGGGATCTAGGTGACACCAGATCTGAAGTTTGGCCAAGAACCAAAGTCTCCCAAGAGAGATCTAATAAAATCTCTCCTACTGGTTGTGCAGAGAAGACTTAACAGAAAAGGGTTGATCAAAACATCCCTGATACGACAAGATTACTGCTTCTAGTAAGGAAAGAGGATAGACAGAGAACAACCTACTCTAATACCATGTCAACACTCTCTGCTGAATAGAGAAAAGAACAAGAATAATTTTAGAGGTGTCAAGAATGAAATGACCCCCACCTCAAAGAGTCTCTTATATATTAAAAGATATGTACAATTATAAGAATGCCCATATAGAGCTGAAAGAGAAAAAAGAATAAGATACATAAATAATATACAACAGGGACTATACTAATAAGATACATCAAGTCACAGAGTCTCCACACATAGTTGTATATTGTATTAACTTATTTAAGAGATTCCATCAATATCTCAACTTTAGAACATATCTTTTTTTATTACTTCACTTTAATGATAACACTATATAATTATGGATTTTACCAAAAAAAAGTAATTATGGACAGTAGTAATATATAAATGAATATAGACAATATGTAAAATATATAAATTTAACCTAATAACTATCCTAATTGTATCTGTTTTTAATTGTTTTCAAATCTTAATTTACAATACTACAATTCTGCTATCACATTCACATCAATATGCTGTAGTTAATCTACCAAGATCCAAATAATGATCTTTTCAATATTTACAAAAAAATATTTATACATTATATATGCTACATGTGATTATTACATATACATTAGTATTAATTTCCAAGAAAGAATATTTAATAATTATGGACAATAATGATAAAAACAAACCTAAAAAACATCCTAATAAGATCTACATTTAGATTTTTAGTTCAACTAAAACACTAAAGCTTAACTATCAGGAGCATTTCAATTCTCCTACTTATCACAACTTATGCTGCAACTATTTATTAGAAAAATGATAATATTCTATATCACTATATGTATAGATACATAGGTATACATTATACAAATGTATGAAAGGTATTAAGATATGTTACATTATATTAGTTTATACCTGTGTTCCTCTATACATGTTTATGTTTTATTAGTAAAAAAAATTAACTAAAACAAAAGTATTGTACAATGAGAAAAGGTTTATGTTTTACTAGATGCTCTGTATGCATTTTCTGTACATGTCACTTACTTACATGTTATATTCCATAAACATAATTAAATGTAATTATTTCCCATTAGGATCATCAGAATATGGAAGAAGTCTAAAGTAATAACCTCTTGGTTTGGGAACAAGGTGAGGGCTCCAAATATATCCATGAGGTACATCAGAAGCAGATCCTTGGGAACCACTTAAATATGTGACAGGCCTTAGCTTCAGTTTTTTCTTCCTGAAATCATTTATCATGTCCCGTATACCAAGCCAAATTAAAGAATCAACAATTTGGTATGACAGCTGCAAATTTTGTCCAGGATAAAAGAATAAGACAAAAAAACAAAAACAAAGAAAAAATGAGAAAGCACCCCAAAATAAGTAAAACTCACTCTATATCCAGCTTGTTGCTTGACACGGGACAAAGGATGTGGAAACTCACTAGTTGGCCTGTTAATATTGATTTAAACATGTGACTATTTAATTTAATTATACCACATTTAACCTGGCAATATAGAAATTCAATTCAGCAAGCACAAGTAAAAGAAATGATAGTGTAGGAATGCAACCCATAATGGCACATGACATAGAGGGAGAAAGCAGTTGGAAAGGGAAAAATGGGGAAACAAGTATCACAAGAAAAATAATAGCACTGAAAAGAATCAATCAACCAAATAAAACTTACGTCCATGGCATTGTGAAAAATATATGCAATGGTACTTTTAGTGCCTCAGCCACATGTGTATGTCCTGAAAATGTTCTTATACAGTTTAGCATTTCCTTATTTGATATGTAACTAGTGATATCATTTATAAATATGATATAAAGTTGCAAGAGCTCTGCAAGGAAGATGTAAACAATAATTAGGATCCCAAAGGTATGAGAATACAGAAAAAAAATACCATAACCCAATGTTGGTCCCAACCATTTGGAGTCTTGGGAGGGGTAGACTAGATACAAATATGAAAATACACATAGCAATTCATATCCATACTGCTTTACCAAAAAAAGGGGGGAAAATCACAGAAGTCACAATCTTACACCACTGGCTCTTGATATCAATCCAGAAAATGTCCATAAACTAAGGATTGAGGAGCTTGATGGAGTCAATGTTGAATGAAGAACGAAGATGAAGGAGAGAAGAAAGAGGGAGTATTAGAAAGGAAGAGATTAAATGGAAACAAAAATCAAGATATAGGTGGTTAAAGGAAGGGGACAGTAACACAAGATTCTTCCACACTAAGGCAAATGGAAAAAAGAGGAAGAACTCTGTATTGAAATTGGAGTGGAATGGATCAGCATTAACAAGAGAAGAGGGCATTGCAAAAGTTTTGTGGAACATTTCAAGCCATTGATGATAGTAAGTTGGTAGTAGGGAAATGATGGATGCCTTGGAAAAGAATTTTGAGACCCAAGAAGTAAAAGATGCAATTTTCTCCATGGATAAATCTAAATCTCTGGGTCTATAAGGGTTCTCGATGGCATTTTATCAACACTGCTGCAAAATTATTGGTGACGATTTATTGGAGTTTCACTATCTCAGTTAATAAACCATCTTTCATTGACTTGATCCCTAAGAATGTGGATGCTAGCCACCCAAAAGATTTCAGAAGCAAAAGTTTAGTGGGAAGCATGTTTAATGCCATCTATAAGGTGATAACTCTGACGATAAAGAAACTATTCCCCTTTTTGATCTCTCCAAACCAGGAGCCTTGTGTTTGGGAGACAAATCATTGACCAAATTCTTATTGCTAATGAGCGCATAGAGTATAGTAAAAGGAAAGGGCAAATTGGCTGATTTGTAAGATTGAATTAGAAAAGATATTTAGCTTGGTGGATTGGGATTTCCTACTAGAAATATTGAGTCATAGGGATTTTGGAGAAAGGTGGTATAAGTAGATTAAGGGTTGTATTTCCTCTTGCCACTACTCTATATAGGTTAATGGAGTAGCTAGGTACTTCTTTCCTCCTAAGAGGGGCCTTAGACAAGGAGTCCCGCTCTCCCCATAGTTGTCAAGGAGACGCCTAGGCAACAAGGCGCCCTTGGAGGCTCGCCTTGCCTAATCGCCAAGCAGTTTCGTATGTTGTGTTATAAAATACTTTTCTATTCTTAACTTTCTGAGATTATAATTATAAAATAGTCATTATTAAACTAAAATATTCATTTTGTGTTTACATACTAATTTCTTTTTATTATTTTCTTATTTGTTAGGGTTTAATCAACACAGACATTGCTAATTGCTGTATTGAACCCTCAAAGACTTCAAAACCTGAACCAATAAGGAAGAACTTAAAATTTTGTCTGATCAACACATCAAAGACCTCTAGGGAACCTAGGGAACTACCCAAGGATATGTTTTTTACATAAAAAAAAAAAAAAAAAATCCATCGCCTAGGCGACTCCCCCTGTTGCCTAGCCTCGCCCTAGTGCCTTGAAAACTATGAATTTCCCCTTTTTATTCATGTTAGTAGCTGATATCTTGAGTAAAACGATTTCAAGGGATGATGATGGCAATTTAATTAGAGGTTAGAGAGTGAGGGAAGAACCATTTATGATTCATAGATGGCCTCATTCTGTTTTGGGAGGGGGAGATCGAGGGAGGCATCAATTTAAAAGTTTGATGGCAAACTTTGAGAGGGTTTTCAATAGTAAAGAGGAGCTATTGGATGATCCAAGAAGGTACAAGAGACTAGTGGGAAAGCTTATTTATCTTATTATCACCAAACTAGATATTTCATTTAATCTGGGAGTATGGAACCAATTTATGCAGAACCCAAGATCTAGTCATTGCAAAAGTATTATCACTACACTATCTAAAAGGTGCTCCAAGTTGAGGTTTGTTATATAAGAAAGGGAGAGAATTGACTTTGGAGGATACTCCTAGATGCAAACTAGGCAAAATCTATAGAAAATAGGAAATCCACCACAAGCTACTGCACATTTCTTGAGGAAATCTAATTACTTGGAAAAATAAGAAGCTGAATGTGATTGCAAGAAGCAGTGTTGAAACAGAGTACAGGGCAATGGATGACACCACTTGTGAGCTGGTTTGGTTGAAGAATCTATGACAAGAAATTGGAGTGGATATCCCTAAACCTACAAAGCTGTTTTTTTGCAACCAAGCTACAATTCATATTTCTTCTAACCTTGTGTTCTATGAAAGAACCAAGCATATAGAAGTAGATTGTCATTTTATGATAAAAAGGATCAATAGAGTGGAGAAGTTGTTACCCCATATGTGAGGTCAAAAGATCAACTACCCAATCTTTTCACCCAAGGACTAACATGCACTTATATAGATTACATTTGTAGCAAGCTAGTGCTCTATGACATTTATGCTTCAACTTGAGGGGGAGTATTAGAAGTTATTAGACTTGTATGTATATTGGTGGAAGGGTATAAGTTATTAGCTCTAATTGGAGGAAGGGTATAAGTTATTAGAAGTTATTAACTCTAATTCCATGTTCCTCGAAATTTTTCTGATTTTTTAGATTTTCCAAAATTTTGCTAATATCTTAGTGAAATTAGCAAAATATGTCAAAACTTTATTATCTACATGACGAAATGGCCATCGATATTGAAATTGCAAACTATGAGCATGATTATGCAGATTCAAATCTGAGAGAACCTACTTTGTGCTAAAAAATGCCAAAAGATTCGGTATCCATCCCACCCCTCCCAAGACCTTGGATAGTCAAGACCAACATTGGGTAATGACTGTCTATTACTACCCAACTAGTGTTGATTATTTGATGGATCATGTCTCTAGCATATTTGAACCTCGACRTAGACTTGGACCTAACAAGACCCAGAATCAGAAAAACGAAAGGGTCTTCTTATGAGCATTGCATGAACCCACCATTTGACATCTCTATCCTCGTGTATCTGAAGCAGTTCCCTTCCTTTTTTCCCTATCTGCCCAGAGGGGGGAGCCCATTTCATCTTTCTTGGTTCCCTCTAACTCTAGTGTTGGCTTTGGCTAGGATTTGAGCTTTAGAAGGGGGCTTTGAGAGAATGAAATCTGTACTGTATCAACTTTGCTTCAAAATCTTGAAGAAATAGTGCTGGACCATTCAAAAAGTGATATTCAAATCTGGACTGCTTCTCCCTTTGGTTCCTTTACCCATGCTTCCTTCTCTTTGAACTTGATACAGCTGAGTGATAATTTGGGAGTGCCTTTTCCTGTTAAAGTAGTCTGGACCACACCTATTCCACCTAGGATTGCAGGTTTTTGCTAGGAAATGTATTTGGAAAGTGTAAGGGGACTAACCTAAGTAATACCGCGGACCTGTTAAAAGGGAGAGTAAACCCTTAAAGTAAAATTGCGAACACGCATGTTCGAGATAAGTCAAAAGAAACAGACAAACTACAGATTCATTAAGCATAAAAAGCAAGTCCGCAGACTATATTCGCAAAAGACAAAATCTGGGAAACAAGCTACTGCAACAAGAATGACTGTTAAACATGACAGAACGTGTCCCCTAAGACGTGACAAGTAGTAGGAGCTTGCGAGCATGGAATAAAGCAAATCTTCTACATGAATTGCAGCCTAACACGTGCCACCATCTTAATGGTTTAAAGATCTAAACTTGTAGCGAATAAAGCATGACAAAACATGTCCCCTAAGATGTGGCAAGTAGTAGGAGCTTGCGAGCATGGAATAAAGCAAATCTGCTACATGAATTGCAGCCCAACACGTATCACCATCTTAACAGTTTAAAGATCTGAATCCATAGCAAATCAAAAAACTTTCTAGAATTCTTGATAAATGCACATGCAAAACTCTCCCCTTTTTGCCTATAAATAGGAGAGTCCCTAACGTGATAAAAGAGACACAACATATATAGAGAGACACATCAAAGCTCTGACTATTCTCCCAGAGTTCTCTTAGAGTTCTGACCTCATCCCTTTATCCATCCTTAAAGTTGATCTTTTGAGCTTTCTTGCTATATTTTCCTTCTTTGAGTCCTACTCACGCTCTCCAGAGTTAAGACCATTATCRCAGTGCCTACCTTACAGAAAGAATTATCACAAGTGACTTGATGCAAAGAAAAAGACCTGGCTGGTGTCTTTCTCGCTCCCGGTGCCCTCTCTGCAAGGCCAATTGTGAGTCCTACTATCACTTATTAATCTCCTACCCTTTTGCTTTTCAAATTGGTAATGGTTGCTCTCTTTGTTTGGGTGCAGATGCAACTCCCCGTCTACTGTTCAAAACCTATTTCCTCTACTTTTGTTAAATGGGTGAAGAAGGATAGAATTCTATGGCAATGTACAAGGGCGGCAATTTGTTGGACACTCTAGGAAGAAAGAAATCAAAGAATATTCATGGAAAAAGAAAGGAGTAGGGATGCGATAATAGAAGCCATATCCATCAGAGTGGTTCATTGGGTGAAGACATTGAAGTTGTTTGAGGACATTCCAGCAGGTGAGTTGATGAGGAAGTGGAAGGAAACTGCTGATTCTGCTCCTCTTAAGGTGACTTATGGACAAGTCTAGTCCCCACCTTTAAGAGGTTTCATAAAGCTGAATTTTGATGGCAGCAATGAAGGTAACCCGGAACCTTCTGGTATTGGAGGAGTGTTCAGAAATGAGGAAGGAAAAATTGTTGCATTATTCTCTAGTCCAATAGGGGTGGGTAATGCTCTAAGAGATGAAATACTAGCTGTCATGGAAGAAACTCAGAAAGCAAAGGACTTGAATATTCGCAAGCTTTCAATTGAGGGAGATTCAAAGTTGTTGATAATATGGCTGCAAAAGAAAGGGGATGAGGGATGGTGGGAATATATTCACGAGAGGAGAAGAATTAGAAGGCCGCTACAAGGAATGGAGGTTACTTTACAATGGGTGAAAAGATATGCTAATTCTTTTGGTGATTCTTTGGCAAAACAAATGGTGGGAAGAAATCACATATTTTGGGCTTCATTCTAATCTATATATCTTTTGGAAGACATAAGAGAGTTTCTCTCCTTTTTCTGCTATGTACCATTCTATCTTGTTTAATGAATGAATATAATTCTGTTATCGATCAAAGATTTTCACTACAATACACATTGATACATCCCATTGTTTAGGAAATCGGGCTGGACCAGCCGACCAGACCAGATATCCTCATCCTCGTGTATCTGATGTATCAAGCTGCCTCAAACATTCTCACTACAATACACATTAGTATATCCCAATGTTTAGGAAATCGGACCAGTTGAACTGTGACCGGGCCTATATCCGGGTCGGTCATACCTGGAAACTGGAATAGGTAGGAAATTGCCCAAAACCGGATGATCAGCCAGTTTAACCAGAAAACCAGTGAACCAGTCCCAGTTTCCTAAAACCGACCAGGTCTCAAATGTGTGAAATTTTCAAAATGCAAATGGCAAGATTGGAACCTATGACTTTTTTTCCATGCATATTGTCTCTGTACCATTAATCCACTTCACTATTTATGAATCTTTAATGTACATATTGCATTAATACACATGTATTTTAAAGAAAATGTAAATTAGGAGGTTTGAACCCTGGTCAAGTACTTTAAAAATCAAAGAACTAGCCATATATCCACCATTAAAGTATAGCGTTATTTGTATAATATATTATTTATAGTATTTATGCAACCTGTGGTATATACATGTATATGCCACATAATCACGCTTTGACCTCTAATTTTACCATGGTTGAACATCTGACGTGTGAACCTCTCCCCTTTCCGGTTCTATGTCCGGTGTGGTTCTCTGAACATTGGTACAGTCCCATTACATTTAAATACAATGAACTTAGAAACATTACTCTATCTTTAATATCAAATATTGGATATCTCTTCACAATTTCTGATATAAAACTGAAATTTCGATACTTAAATATTTGTTTAGGACAGAGGACTACATTAAGTTACAGACTTTCAAACTCTTAACAGTTTTTATAGTTTAAGAATAGAAATCTGAAATCCTACAAAAATTATCAAATATAACATCTTTAGATATAAATCAAGACAGTTTAAATGAAAAYCACTCAAAAAACCAGACAATCATGATCACTTAAGAATTAGAAAGTAGAAATGTTTGAAAAGAAAATAGGACAGATAGAAGTTTATACAAAAGAACACCATCCCAAGGGTAAAATAAGTGAAAAACTAACCATATGCTGGGGGATTTGCAATTATGGCATCAGCTTTAAAAGGAATACCAGAATCAGCATCAGCATCCTTGCATGCATCAAGTAAAGAAAATATTATTTCCTTTATTTGTTTGCGCTGAATAGGTATTTCTGAAGGTCCAGATGGTAAGAAGCCTTTATTCTTGACCATGTCTGCACAGAGAGAGAGAGTTACTACAAAGTAAATAAGGATGACAAAAGATTATTTGAAGGAAAACAAAAGAATCATTAAACATTTTGTAACCTGCCTTGGTTTGAAGGTCAGGCTGGGTAAATTTTGTATGTGTAGGATTAGAGGGGGTGGTTGTCTTTGAGGTTGTTTTATTTAAATTTGGGTGATATCTTATAACCTCTCTTGTACTTCCTTATTAAAAAATTTTCTTCTCTATTTATTACCCAAAAAAAATCTATATGGGTGGTTTAAAATTTTTCTTGTAGATAAATATAAAATTTTATTAAAAGAAAAAAAGAAATACAAAGAAAGGTGATAAGCAATCACCCAAGAAAGAATAAAACCCAACTGATTTATCTCAAGACTGACATCCACAGACTCCCCTTGTCAACTCATACTCATACCCTTTATCCAAATTACTCCTACAAAGTACCATAACCTATATCTACTAAAGCACCGAAAATAGTCTACCTCGATGCCACCAAATTCCAATAAACCCCAACTAAACACCAAGATAGAACCACTACAAGAAATACCAACCCAAACCAAACCATTCGAAGAATCTTCATTACTTCAACACTTTAGTTGCTTAGTTGAGATCTTCCTTTCTTCTTTTAGATGACCTTTTCGATTTTTTTCACTACCTTGTTAGGACCTACCCCAACCACACCCCCTTTCAACCTGGCAAACACCTTTTAGACCTGATTCTGATGTTGATTCTTTTGACTATTGAAGCACCTAACTGTGTTTAGAGCTTTCTAAACTTCCTTCAAACTTCCACAACCTTTCTCCCCCTTCCACATTTTCGCCACCAACTCCATCTGGAACCCCCCCCCCCTTTCTGAATCTCTGAATTATCACAAAAAAAAAAAAAAAAAACTCCATCCACAGATTTATGTTTATTTTCTCCTTAGTCCTGCTCTTTTCCTCCAGTTTCGTAAATGCTTCCCCTGCAAACTTTCCCCACCTAAAGTTTTACTTACCTCCACTTCCACGTTTTCTGCCTTCTCAATAACAACCAGCTTCTCAATCAGATGAGTCTCATCAAGGTAGGAGATGACAAACCCCCACGTGGTCTTTTAACATGTCATGTGAAGAAACTTGAACCACTGATCAGAATTAGAGCATCTCAGTTCAAACCTCCTCTCCTTCTCAACTTCTCAACTTCCCACCTTCGCATCTGTTAGAATACACAAATCAGGGATATTTTGGTCATTTGGGTTTATCTATTTGAGAGTGAAAGGTCTATTTTATTTAAGTTTAAGTTATGTGTCCCATCACTTATGAG